TACAATATTTATTTGATTAAATACAATATTTATATATATTTTTAGTGTACAGACATAATATTATACTTACATTGCCTTTGTACGTGACCTAAGAAAAATTGGGTTCATTATGGCTGATATAAAATTGTAATTTTTAACTAATAACGATTTTTTACTTTCACTTCACTTTTGAAGAATTCTACGGGTGCTGGCGACTATGCAAAAGATCACGCTGCATTCTTTGCCGGAAACTGATCAACCGTGGTCGATAGAAGAATTCGTCGAGGAGATCGAAGAGATATGCAGGCTCGCGGCGGTAGATCTGTATCGCAAGAACATGATGGTGGAAGAGGCTGTGGAGGAAGTGTTAGAACTCGTTAAGAACGCCGCGGAGAACTTGAAGTCCGTCGCTAATTCCAATCAGTTCAACTTGTTTAATATCGAAGGTGATATTATCTTATAACTAGACTACTGATAAACGAATTATTTATGAGAAAATTATTATTGAGTGTATGAATACTATAAAAAAATTCATTCGATGCTCCAGGACATGCAAAATATTAAAATTCGTGAATTATACAGGGTATCCCAAAACTAGTGTAAGATATTGAAATGGGAGGCTCCTGACATGATTTTAAACAACATTTTCCTTAGCGAACAAGTTTTCCAAGACATGCTTGAGGAGTTATTAACAGAAAACGCCGACCAATCAGAGCGCTAATCAGACGCGAGCTACGAATCGGGAACGTTGGCTCGGATCTGGACGCCCGACTTTTGACATGTGAACAACCGCTCCGCTCAATACAAAGCCCTTTGAGAAAATGACGAATAATAAACTACATGAATAACAATGCAAGAAAATCAATAACAATTAATACATTTAATCGTTATTCAAATGGAATGGATGAGGAAATAATAGATTGTTGATAAGCCAGGCGTCCGAATCCGAGCCAACGCTCCCGATTCGTAGCTTGCGCCAATCGAGCGCCCTGATTGGTCAGGGTTCTTTGTTAATAACTCCTCAACCACGCTTCGGACAACTTTTTCGCTAAGGAAAATGTTGTTTAAAATTACGTCAGGAACCTCCCATTTCAATGTCTTACACTATTTTTGAGCACCCTGTATATTATGATTTTTAAAATGTAAAGGATATTTTTATTGAAATTTCATTTTCCACATTAATGATTGATTTTGTATGAAGTCTACTTATTCAACAATTCTTCAATCTCGGAACTCAACTTTTCCAATAATCTGTAGAAAACGGAGAAGTGGAGCAGGCGGCATCGCAAGATTGGTCGCTGATCTGGAACTTGTTCGACAACCCTCACCAATTGTTGGCAACACCCGGTAGCTTACCGAAAGGAATGCAAGACATGGTGTTGAACGCCGTGTCGGAGATGAGGCGGTATTATTCTAGGAAAGTCGTGGACGTTCTGATAAAGGTTACCAGGAGCTCGCTGGACGCCATCAGGAAACGGTTCATTCGCGAATTCGATCCAGGCATGCTCAGTATTTCATTAAGGGGCCTTACCAGTGTGACCGCCTAAAATTTAG